AGTGAATTCAATCCCCTAGAAAGAGCCTCAGCAGCTAGGATAAAAAGTGTTGGAGACAATGGATCCCCTTGCTTCACACCCCTAGTTGATTTGAAAAAACCTCTTGATTGACCATTTATAAGTACTGAGTACCAGTTATTCCCTACCAAATCAAAAATCATGCCAATGAACCTCTCACAGAAGCCTAGCTTTCTCAACACTTTTGTTAAGAAAAGCCAAGACAACCTATCATATGCCTTGGTCATGTCCAGTTTCATTACCACATTAGGACCAGCCTTAGTTCTTAATCTAATATCAGTAATGATCTCCTGGGTAAGCAATATATTCTCTACAATACTCCTGCCTTTTACAAAGCCAGCCTGCTCCTCAGAAATTAAATTAGGCAGTATCTCTACCAGTCTGTCATGAATGACCCTTGAAAATATTTTATTAATGAAGTTACTAAGGCTAATTGGTCTCAAATCTGAAAAAGTAGTCACCTCTTTTTTCTTGGTAGGAGAACTAGGTTAGTATGTGTCACACACTTTGGTAGCTGTTGGCCACAGAAAATTGCAGCACCATTGCATAAATATCCTCTCCAACAATATCCCAACATGTGTGATAAAAAGCCCCAGTAAAGCCATCAGGTCCTCCTGCTGAATCCCCATTCAATCCATATACTGCCTTTCTGACTTCCTCTTTTGTTGGTAACTCAGTTAATCTTGCATTTTGCTCTTCCTCCACCAAAGTTGGAACATGATCAATGATGTGAAAGGTTGAAGGTACTACTGATTCTGTGAATTGGTCCTTGTAAAAGCTGACTGCTTCTTCTGCAATTTGCTCCTCCTCCTCTATCCAGATGCCCATGTTATTCTGTATCCTTCTCAGCTGTAATTTCTTTCTTCTACCCCTCACTTGAGCATGAAAGAACTTTGTGTTTCTATCCCCATCTTTAAACCATAACATGCCTGCTTTCTGCTTCCAAAATTCTTCTTCCACAGCAAGATACTTAATCATTTCTGCCTTAACCTTGTGCAACCTTTCTCTATTCATCTGAGTAGGAAATGCCTCAAACTGCCTCTCATGTACTAAAACAACCTCTTCTAAACTGGCTAATTTTCTGAAAGATATCTCCATATGTTGCTCTGCTCCAACTGGAAAGTGCTTTCTTCTAATTTTCAACTTATAATTGAACAGTATGAAAGGATTTGCAGACAAAATCTGCATTCCAATTTCTCT